AGTCAATTCTAACTCCACTACGAACTACTTCCTGCAGGCTTTTCACAATAGAACCACGTTAAGTCTCCATCAGCATAACGTCTCCATATTAACTAACCACGTTAAATCTAACTGTGCACGTCACTGAAGAGGTGTTTACTACATTCAGCGACGGAGAAAACGGGATGTTTTTTTAAACGTCAGTCAATATAAGCAGCGGAATCACTACCCGCGTTTGCAACTAGCTGCTCCAAACATTAGCATGCTAACGCACATAGAGGTGCAGCAAGGAAAAATGTCCCCCGGGWAACAACAGTTCACTGGCGGCCGTGACGAAATGTTCCCCTATTTAAACCGGAATGTCCGGTATTCAAAAAGTTCATATAACAAAAATAAAAACCAGTATTCGGTACAAAACGGTATACCACCCAGCACTAGAAAAAACTGTTTTATCTTTTTCTTAACTGTGGAGATGGGAAGATGTGGATGCCAGTGGCATGTCTGCAAGCTCAATATGACCAGACGAGACTGCTCCTCAAAGCTGTCCACCTTCTGGGAGCACAATATGTTTTAGTAACATGCAGCAGCCTGCTGCTCCTCCGCTGCCACAAACTCACCCACGTGTGTGTYCCTAAAATAATCKGTTTCCCAGCCAGAGGKAACACCACAAGGACTGAAAAACCCTGAAGTCTGTATGAAATTAGGGGTAGCAATATACAGAAGTACTAGATTTTTTAATGCTTATTAAGTTCAAAACATGGTGATTGCATTATACTCAAATTGCATTATACACACATAAATACATAACTGCTCCTGAGCATCAAGTTCATGAGATTATTTACATTTTTAAAAAGTTATTTATTGTGCATGGCATACACTGCATGCTCATAATGTTTTCCTTGTGAAATTCAACACAAACTGCTGACTTCTTTAGATTGATTTTTTGTGTACTTGGTGCTATATTAATAAACTGAACTGAAATAAAAATACTTTTTTTAATTATATTGATACACCTATTAAATCATTTACAGATAATCTGTAGCTCTCAGGCATCATACTGTATGCACAAGACAATATCATCAGCATGAAATCGAAACCTCAGACTGTTTGAGTCACTTCTCATTTTACCACAGCTGAATAAAGTTCTAACCCAGGCTAACTCAGGCAGCAAGAAACAAAATGTACTGTATTTATTCATGTTTAATACTAGAAATTTAACCCTAAAAATCATCCAATAAATGGGTGTAGACACATACATACATGGATACACGGGTTATTGATGATTAGGTTTTTTATGATTTTTAAGTTTAAAAAATGATGATCGTATTATACATCTATTAATACGGTATTTATGTTTTACCTTTTAAGGAATTTATCAGTGTGCATTGCCAATGCAATGCACACTATTGTGATTCGTTTCCCATCCAAGTCATCTCAACTTTGGCATGCTTCTCCTCCTGCATACTTTGTCCTAGAGCTGCCATTGTAATTTATATCTGTAAAGCTCCTGTGCCAAATGATGGCTATGCCTTTTGGTGCCTGTAAAACTTATAGTTTATGAAATATTAATGTTTAATGAATTATAATGGCAGTTAATGGAGCCTTGTATTGGTCCAATACTGCCCCATGCTGTACTCAACTTGGTACTGCACCATAGTTTAAAATTTCAACTCAGTAATTCAGTGTTTACAGTACTAATATGATTGTATTTTGATGTTTTACTATAATATTGTCTTAATACTGCTCT